AGCCCAAAGACTTAAACTGTAGGCAGGGGCTTATTACCTGATCCCTGCCACCCAGGCCTGAAGCCCTTGGGCTTTGACTTAAGCCTTGGGCAGTGGGGCTCATGCTTCAGCCCCAGATCCCAGCAAGTCTAAACCAACCCTGGCAACTTCTTCAAAGTGGGTCACAATCCACAGTTTGGGAACTGCTAGCCTAGAACATCCGCACTAGAGCACTTACAACAGTGCAGCTGTATTGGTGGAGCTGCACCCCTGTAAGTTCTAAATGTAGCCATAGCCTGATTGTAAATTTTACCTAGTAGCAGTTGTTTCCCTCTGTAAGCTGAGTGCTTGGGCGTCCACCCAGGAGAGATTCAAATGCTGCCCAGCTGATGAACAGAGCACTCGCAGCCAGCAGCATCTCTACTGGTGGTGCACATCCACACAATGCCTCAGTGCACATAACAAAACTTATCCTGCACATGCATTGGAAAAGAGGGAATGTTGCCTAGTAATACTGAATATCATACATTTCCACTTGTCAGAGTTTATTCTGCATTCATTAGACTTCACTGGCTTAATTTCTCTTTCTGCTCTTACAGATCCAGGTGTGGGACACAGCAGGCCAGGAGCGCTTCCGGACGATAACCCAGAGTTACTATCGCAGTGCCCATGGTGCCATTCTTGCCTATGACCTTACCAGAAGGTCCACATTTGAATCTATTCCTCATTGGATTCATGAAATTGAAAAATACGGAGCTGCTAACTTGGTCCTAATGTTAATTGGTAGGAATAAATATTTTTATTTGAATTTTTTGAAACACAGCCTTAAACCCCCATTTGCATACTCCCCCTTCTTCCCCACACTCTCAGGCACTAGTTACCTGAATTCTTCAAAATACAGACACACAGTGAATGTAGTAACTTGAGCTAATTTTAAGAAAATGTCCCATCCCTATCTCTACAGCAGAACCAATGAGGATATGGGAATTAGGTGATTGTCCTCACAGTACTAAGTGTCCTATTCTATTTCTGGTTTTAGCCTCACTGTAATAGAACAAGCTTACTGCTTGTCTATCTGGGGCAACTCTCTTGAGGCTAATGGATGTGGGTTCACTTTGAGATGTGATCAATTGAAACCAGTGGCTCAAATATGTATGAGCATAACAAGCTGTCAGGTGCATTTTTGCCCATTATCTCAAACCCCTTTCTTATATTCTGTATGTTCTTTCCCATGTCCATTCCCTATATGCCTTGCTGATGTGCACTTGCATCTACTGCCCAGGAGGGACTGATCGTAAGTGAAAACAGGCCAGCAAAAGGGGACCCTCTTCCACTGCAGGAAGGCTGCTGCTTATGTTTTTCCCTTTTCTTCCCTGTAGACAAGGAAAGATGAGTCAATTTAGTGTAGGAGAGTGGTCGGTGGGAAGCAGAGTTATTCTTCTCTTCTCCCAGAATGAATTGGTATATAACTAAATAAATGGGAATGGTTTGAAAAGTTGGGTAGCCAGTAAAAGCTAAGCTTTTGAACTACAGAGGCACTGTTTTATCCCAAGACAATGAATCTGTACTGGATGTTTTTCTAAGAGGTTTATTTTGCCCTCTTTAGGGCTTTCTTCACTCGTTTTTTGAGCATGATACAATTCTTTCCATTTTTGGAAAGAAATGGACAGACTAGGGGCTATGGAGTTCAAGTGTTGCCTATTCCCTTGTTCACAGCATGATGTTACAGCACCATACACATCAGAATCTTGTTTACATGTCACTTCAGAAGAGTACTAAGACTGACTTAACTAATTCTCCATAAACACGAGTACAGTATTTTGAAGTGTGTGTTAGCAGGGGCTCAGAACTCACAGCTATTGAGGTTGGCAAGGCTGGGCTCTCAATCTATAGGGCCAAGTTGGGTTGGTGTTCTGCAGTGCTGTGCTCAGCACAGTGCTGATAACAGGCAAGTGTGATCAGCTTCTTCACTATGCCAACTCAACCCCTTTGCTGTGGATGAGGACCAATAACTAGGATTTCTGACAGCAGAAAGTTGCTGTCGTTTCCATGTATGAAACTTTCTTGGTGTTACTGTTCAGCTCACTAGAAATCTTGTTTGGCATTACTTTACTCCCTGGCATACAAAGGGAAACTAAGATTTCATTGCACGATTTGTTTGTTTTTTAATTTAAAGGGAACAAATCAGATGTAGCAGAGAACCGCCAAGTCCTTTTTGAAGATGCCTGTACACTGGCAGAGAAGCATGGGCTACTGGCTGTGTTGGAGACTTCTGCAAAAGAGGCCCAGAATGTAGAAGAGGTGTTTACATTGATGGCAAAGGAGTTGATAGCCCGCAACACTTTGCAGTTTCATGGAGAGTATCCTCCAAACAGCATCTATCTGGACTCCAGGCCGGTGATTGTTAGTCCAAGTGCAGAGAAGTCCCAGTGCTCTTGCTGATGACATGTCTCACTCCTAAGAGCTATGAAGGTGTGGCTGATTTCACGTTTCCTGTTTGGACATCATTCTAATGTTACTGCCTTGCAGTTTTGGCCTGTAATTCTGAGATGGGTGTTGCAATGGTCAAAAACACTGGATTGCCTTGAACGTGGCAGCTGTTGGTACATAAGCAAAGTCTTTGAGCTGAGAGAAGACTAGATGTTGCCAGCCTGAAGAGAACTATGAAGACTCAAATGGAAGCAATTGCCTTTTGAATAGACTCTTGACTACTTGAAGATTGATTCTTCTGGATCTGTTAGAGGCTGACTGTAATCAGGTTTTGTGCTGACTGTTTCCTTAGGATTCACAGTCTGCTGTAGGTCAGATTCTTTGGTCTTCATAAATAACTTTACAATGTGTGACGTGCTTATGCTTTTTTTTTTTTCCTCCATAGTCATTCTGTCTTGCATTACTCAGAGGTGTTGCGATTTCCATTCAGGGAGATGTTGATGGCAGATCTGTGGCAGACAGTGCCATAACTTATTGCTGGTATTGCGATCTGGTAGACGATACTAGCACCTTTATTTTCCTCCCTATGCAAGTAACATGGATGGAGGCTAATTGCCAAAACTGTCATACTAATTTAAGTGGTATGCCACTGGGCCTGTGGGGACACCCAAGACTTTGTTTCCCAACTTCAGGAGGTGAGAAGAGCTGCCTTCAATGTATCAGGATCACTTCTTGGTGGTGGTTCTTGTGCTATAGACTCTCTAATGAAGCCCCTCCCAAGCCAATAGTAATAGCTCTAATTTGAGTTCTGGCCAAAAGGTTCCCTATTTCTTAATAATCCCTTGATTTAAAGGGGGCTTTCACCAAAAATTATATCTAAAACATCTGCTATAGCTTAGACTTTGAACTCAGACAGCTTTCAGGCTTCTGTACTGCTGCTCAGACAGGTAGAATGGCTCAAGTAATTGTCAGATCAGGAATGAAACAGGTTGGGGAAGCTCTTAATATTAGGCTGCATTTTTCAGTAAGACATGAGCCAACAAAAACTGGCCCAATACTAGCTTTCAATCAAACTTTTTTGTATTTTTGAAGTTCTTCAGTAAGGGGGTTATCAGTGTTTCCTGTCATGGTTCTTCACAACTATGCAAACTGAGTCTAGCTTTCTTTCTGAACCCAGAATTTCTCCTGTCTCAAAAGAAATGAGAAATTTGAGTTGCTAAAATGTCCAGTTACATTAAAAATGGGTACATTTCTGACAGTACCTTCTGCTAGTATGTCTCCCCTCTTCAGTTTATTGGAAGGCTCCAGGAAACTGTTCGTTTAATTCCATATAATCAAACTTCATAGCGGGGGGAGGGGAGGGGAGACAATACCAGTGCATAATCCTGAAGAGATTGCTTTGAATTTGTCAGGCATAGCCATAAAACATGTTGAGTCCCTATATAATTTACTCAAGTACCTCTTTTTAGTTATGCTGTCACTAGTAAATTACAAGCTAGAATTCTCCATTAAAGTAAAATTCAGCTCTAGTCGTAATGCACAGAAGCCACAGAAATGTGTGGCAGGCTTTGCAACTGTCTCTGATATAAGATTCACATTTTTCTTCCCTGCTTTTGGATAACATTGTAGAATCTCTCCTTTAACATTGTAGAATCTCTCCTTTTTGTCTGGTCAAGCACAAAATATTAAGTGGCAGGGCTGAAGGCTTGTGGTGGGTTGGCCATACATTTCAACGCAATAGAACTTCTGCCTAATTTCTTCTAGGCTACGTCTACACTGCAGGCTTTTTGTGCAAGAACTGCTGTTGTGCAAAAAGTTGCTGGGTATCTACACTGCACACATTCTTGCACAAGTAAGTTTGCAGCATCAAAACAGAGCTTCTTCCCATGAGAAAATCCCCCTTGCATAAGAGCTCTTCCACAAGAAGGCAGTGTAGACAGGCAACCTGAATATCTTGCGCAAGAAACCCCTATGGCTAAAATTGTGCAAGAAAACTGATGGCCAGAGAGCATCCACACTGCTATGGATGCTCTTGTGCAAAAGCACATGGCAGTGTGGACGTGCTTTTGTAGAAGCCCTTTTGCACAAGAACTCTCCCGCAAAACAATTCTTGCGCAAGAAGCCTGAAGTGTAGACATAGCCCTAGTGTTTGTTACATGTAACAGCTAGCTGCCAGTTCCTATACACTAAGATCTGAAGTAATGAAGGATTCTGACCATTTTCTGAAGACAGGGCAATCACATTTGCCACCTGCTTTGTAGTTTGTTTTCTCTGTTTAGCCCAATACCTGTGTGCATAATTTTTTCCTGGGGGTGATTAGACCTAATAGAAAATTACAGCCTGGGATGGGTGTCAGTTACTCCAAACAGGCTGCTCTTTGAATCACTTATTCCTCTCCACTGTTTCCCTCCTATTTAACTTCCTAGTGTCCAAGGGCCTAGAATCAAAGACAGGATAAGTAGTACTACTCCCTCTGCTGTAAGGTGGCATTAATAATCCAAAAGTTTGAGCTGGTATAGTGATGTCTGCTTCTCTACCAATGTGACAATAGTTTGAAGGCAGGGGCTGTAGGTATCTTTCATATTAAAGCAGTCCCCCTCCTTCCCATGCTCTGCAGGAAAATCCAGTCCCCCTCAACACATTTTACTTATCTTTTTGTACATTTTATTCCTAGACACCCCAAATACTAAAAAAATCAACCAAAAGCTACTTACCTTAGTGAACTTTACCTGGTCTCTGTCTTTAGATAGCCAAGAATGATGAGCCAGGCTGTCAGTTAGCATATGTGGCCTTTCATCATGCTGCTTGTGTGCCAAGAATGGCTGAAGCTTGGGCACTTAACAGTCCTGCAGCCTTTGGTGGTAAGAGAAACCCCCCAGTACTGTTAAATACATGTCCCTGCATTTCTCCAGCACCTCCCATAACTTCCCCAACCTGCTATTCCATTAATCAGTACTTGTCCTGGGTAAGCAGCTTCCATCAGGCTAGTGACGTTCTCTTTGAGTGAAATAGAGCTGCCAAGAGTGGCCTTGCTTCTCACCAACAGGCTTGAGCACATCTTCCCACAATTCAACTGGGTCCCTACTCAAAAACTGCCTTTTGAAATCTCTCTCAAGCCCTTGAATAAAGTAAACATGCTAGATCAGAAGCCAAGGGATAATGAATTTAACACCACTTAGTTACACTGCTGTGCACAAATCACAAAAAAACCATAGTTATAGGATTGCTAATGCAGAAGCTCTATCATCCTGGACAATATTAGAGCATATTTTTCCAGTGCAAATTAAACTAGAACACTGAGGAACTCTATGAAAAATGGATGCTTCACTGCCATCAGAGGGGAAAAAAAATAACCATCTGCCAAATTGCACAACTTAACTATTTAATAAGTCTCCCAAAAAATCATGAGTAGAGAGCCTTTCCCAGACAAGGTAATTGTTTTTTAAAACTGATATGGGATTCTTTGTATGTTTCTTCCACCTCCCATTCTTACTATCTGCACATCTAGTGTATTTAATAGCTCCATTAACAAGCAAGTAGAAAATGAGGCTAAAAATGCATATTGTTTTACAAATTTGCTGGTATTCCATGTCCTCTCTTTAAAAGCCTACTCAGCTACTGAAAATATGGAAAGAGCCTAATTTTGCTAAACACTTTTAAAATCCTATAACACTAGTTTCAAACATCAGACCTTTACACTGGAGTCAGATGAGACTGTTTTTGAGACAAGCCCATGAGAATCAGTGGACAGGTCAACTGCAGTATGGCTAAACTTGAGCATTTCAAAATGAGTCAGGCCCTCACAATATCAGGAATGGTTTAAAGTCATACACATTACATGTGCCATCTTTTTACTTGCCTTGGGGCTTTTGGCCACAGTTACAATAACGGCCACACTCTGTCAGACCAAAGGTTCAGCTAGCCCAGTATCCTGTCTTCTGACCACAGCCAATGCCAGGTGCTCCAGAGGGAATGAACAGAACAGGTAACCAGGAAGCGAGCCCTCCCGTTGCCCATTCCTAGCTTCTGACAAATAGAGGTCAGGGCACCATTCCTGCCCAGCCTGCCTAATAGCCATTGGTGGACCTAAAGTCCATGTATTTATCTAGCTCTTTTTTTCATTAGTCATGGCCTTCACAACATCCTCTAGCAAGGAGTTCCACAGGCTGATTGCATTTTGAGAAGTACAGGCAGTCCCTGGGTTACGTACAAGATAGGGATTGTAGGTTTGTTCTTAAGTTGAATCTGTATGTAAGTCGGAACTGGTACATATTGTAGGGGAAAATCTAGCCAAATATTTCTCCAGAGCTCAGTTTTATTCCCCCACACCTCACTTCCCTCAGTCCTTTATTCTCAAGCTGAGGTGTCTGCTGAGAAAAGCCGCTCCACGTCTCCCTGGTCTGCTGCTGGGAGAGGGCGGGGGGGCGCTAGCTTCTTGTCTCCCTGATATGCTGGGGGGAAGCAGCTACTACAGGGTTGCCTCACCCCGTTTGTAAGTAGGGATCCGATGTAAGTCGGATCCATGTAACCCAGGGACTGCCTGTACTTCCTTTTGTTTGTTTTAAACCCGCTACCTATTAATTTTGTTTAACTGTTAGTTCTTGTATTATGGGCATGAGTAAATAACTAATCACTTTTCACATGGAGTGGGGGAGGGAGAGGGTGAAGAGGTAGGGTTTATAATTCAAGTTAGGATTCTCATGTTTGACATCCCCACCTCCTACAGTGATTACATCAAATACAGGCAGTCCCCGACTTACGCGGATCCGACTTATGTCGGATCCGCAGTTACGAACGGGGCTGCCCCAGAGTACACGGACTGCGGGACCTCGCGGTCCTGCTGCCCGTGTACCCTGGGGCTTTCTCTGCGTCTCCCTGGTCAATTCAAGTTAGGATTCTCATGTTTGACATCCCCACCTCCTACAGTGATTACATCAAATACAGGCAGTCCCCGACTTACGCGGATCCGACTTATGTCGGATCCGCAGTTACGAACGGGGCTGCCCCAGAGTACACGGACTGCGGGACCTCGCGGTCCTGCTGCCCGTGTACCCTGGGGCTTTCTCTGCGTCTCCCTGGTCTGCAGACCAGGAAGACGCAGAGCAAAGCCGCGGAGGGGCTCAGGCAG